CCCGCCCCAGTCAGGGTATAGCTGAGCGCTGTGCAGAGCCAGGCTCAAAAAATACACCCTTTTATTTCGGTTTGAGCTAGCAGGCTTAGCAGATTCAGGGGACAGCAGTGTGATCCAATAGGTTCTACTTCATTCCTTGCTGGTGGTCCATCATGGACAGGGCTGTTGCCCGCTGAGGAAACGACGTGGTGCCTCTGCAGCCGCTGTGATTTTGTGTCTCTCTGGCTGCCCAAAGGCCAGGCTGTGGCAGTGTCCTCTGCCTCCTTGGTTCGTGTGAGTAAACGTAGACCAGAAGAGCAGTCAGCCCCCAGGTTAGTCAGAGGTGCCTCCTGCCAGCACCCTGTCTAGTGGAGCGCTGCGCGGTGCAGGAGGTTGGCTTTCTGTCCCCAGTCCTCGGTTCAGAAGTGGGGTAAAAGGGCTGTGGACTTTGGAGCCCTCAGGCCGAGGCGATCATCAGCTGCTTTAAGACCATCCTGACCGTGTTTTCCCCATACCTTCGTAGCAGAGCACACCCCTCGCGATGTGGCAGGGTCTGGCGAAGCGCAGGGTCCCACGGGTTGTGACCTCCCGCGTTATTCCAGGCGGAGGTCAGCAGAGGGCTCTAGCAGTGTGGGCCCAGAGCGGCTTTTTTTTTTTTATTTGTCGCACTCGAATTCAATTTGTGTAACTTTATAGGTGTGACAGGCTGCGTGTGCATTGCCAGAGGCTTGTGGCAGGCTGTATTTGGGATAGGTGTCCATTCTGCTAGAGCAAAATTGCTGGTTTGCTGGTGGGCTGCTGCCTGTTGTGCTTGACCCTTGCTCCCGCTGAAGTCAACAGAAGAAGGTTCAGTGACTCCAGAGGGATCACGGTGGAGCCTGCTGTGAGGCTTGTTTTGGTAACCAGTCCTCTGCTGTTGGTAGAAAAGCACTAGTGTCCTCATCTGTGCCATTTGTTGTGTCCAGCTACCTTCCTGGGGAGAGAGAGAATCGAACAGAATTGAATTCCCTGTCACAAGAAGGCTGATGGGATCATGGGAGAAGTTGGTCTCGCAATGTGAGCAGTGAGACTTTGGTGCTATTGCCTTGGTTCTATTTCTGGTTCTGCGAGGCAGATATATCAGTGAGCGAGAAATCAGGACTCTTGGCATTACCTTCCTGGCTCTACTTCTGTCCTGCTGTATGACCTTGGAGATCCTCTCTCTGTACCTCAGTTTCTCCTCTCTGGAGAGGAGACAATGATGTGCTTCTTTTCCACAAGGACAGCCCTGTAGTTCCTTCCACGGAAGCTCTTGGAGACCTTGGGGTTGAGGTGAAAGGTGATTTTGTGTCTTTGGCCATTTTGTGCTTGCTTGGAGATGTCGAGCTGTGACAGGTTTTTATTTGGGATGGACTTAACTCGGGTTGGAGACTGTAATTTTAGTTTCAGCCCCTACCCTTTTGTACTCAAGAGGGCCTTCCACATGTTTTGTGGCACGGGAAGTTGTAGAGGAGTCAGACAAACACTCTTTGTTTGTTCCACGAGAAAAGATTTTCTGGTATAAATAAAGGAAACCACCAGCGCTTGTGGCTGCGATTTTATTTTTAAAAGCACAGTGTGTCTGTATTGCTGCTGAGCCATTGACAGGGAGGGAGGCAAAATGATCATAGACTTGCTCCTTTTCTAGTTTAGCATGTTCCCACTCCGCTGCTCCAAATTTGGACTTGATCCTGCCTGCTGTGGCTACGTCTGCCCTGAAGAGTTAATGTGGGCCCTGACTGGGTTTTAACCTTACTTCCCCCTCCATTCTCAAAGAAGAACCTCTGACTCAAATCTGGAGGTGTTCTGCGGGGTAGGGGTGTGGGTTAAATGCGGGATTAACTTTTAACGTGGGCTGAAGCCCAAATTGCAGGAAGGGGGCAGGCCAAGTGGTGTTAGTCCTTCAGTGACCTTCCTATGTTTCCCCGTGAAAGACAGACCTTCTTCTGACCCTGACACAACCAATGGAAGGGAAGCACAGGCTGAATCGGCCTGGCAAAGTGTGGAATATGACTCCTGGTACATAGGAGTAGGTGTAGGTCCGGTAGCAGGGGCAGGGCTTTGCTCTGACGTACACCGTTTGGGTGCTAACTGTGCACATGAACTATGGAGCGTTGCAGTGTCTCCGTGTGAGTGCTCCGTGTCCAGCAAAATGAAGGCAACGTGCCTTTCGTGGCAGGATCTTCCGACCGGAGAAAGATTCCCCGTTTTCTTTTCAGAGGTTGATTCAGGCTTTGGCAAATCATCAGGTGTTAAAGGCAAAAAAACTCCCGGGTTCTTTCTGGGAAGGACTTGGTCCTGTCAAATCTCCCAGATCTCAAGTACAGTCATCAGGGTGCAGCTGTGAAAGTAAAGGCTCTGCGAGGGAATCTGAATGTGCTGTTCTGGGGCCAGCCTGTAGTCGGGACTCTCTGGTGTGATCCAGCTGCTTGCGCAGCGCAAACACTCAGAAAGCCTGGCGGACCCGAACCAGTTTCACTTCAGTTTTCTACTCTGTTTCGGTTTCTGCCTCCTTTGTGCCCCGGACTGCTGCAGTGAGCAGCATTTGATCTGCACAGGTAACTGCCGCTTTCCCTCCCTCTTTTCTTCCATCCCTCCCCTCGACGTAGGTCTGTAAGCATTTTTACCCAGAACTGCGCCTTTACTGCCAGAGTTCCCAGGTCCTTTCTGCTGGCACAGCGTGAATAATCAACAGTGCAGTTCAGCGGCTGTCATTGTGCCTGCAGAATTTCCCACATACTAAATTGTTCGACTTGTTGGAACACAGGCGGTGACTAAGGTCACCGTGAAGGGGAACGGGAAGGAGGAGGTAGCTGCAGACAAGATAGGAGAACAGCCAGGAGGCACGCTGCAGTTAGGGGAGGAGGGAAGAGGAGGGGAAGGGACAAGGAACAGAAACGTGCTGTCTTCTAGACGAGGAATACCAACGAGCAGCCCATGCCTGCCAGGCTACATTTCCCTTTCACAAGCCACTTTCTCTTTTAAGAGCTGCTCAGCTCTCTGACACTTCAGGCTCCCTGGATGGAAGCTCCTCCTTGTACCCACTCTCAGCACTGTGGCACTGTCAGCTCTGCATGACCTAGAATTAACTTTCAACAATTAACTGCGGGCTGCGAGCTCCAAGCCCTGCAGCTTTTGCATTTTTGTGGCAAAGTAACCTTTATGCCAGTTTGTCACAAGTTCAGGGCACTTTAGAAACGCTTACCGGAGACCATTTTTTTTCCATGATGCAAGCAGTTTGCTCTTATCAGTCGGAGTTATCAACATTGCTGCTGTAGGACTCTGCATGCTGTACAGGTGGATCATTATAGTGCATAGCAGCGTGGGGCAGGTACTGTCCTTATGCCTGCTCCTCTCCTCTGCTCCGTTTGAGGCATCCTCCTTTGCCTGCCTGCCGGTAGAGCTAGGAGGCCTGGCGGGCTCCAGGTACTCACTGTTTGCAGAACTGTGCTAGCAGCCGGGGTTTTTGCGTGTGTACTTATCTATCCTATCTCTCATCGCTTCAAATCTCTCCAACCCTTGACCAAGCAGCAAAACGAAGCTTTGGCAAGAGACGGGGAAACATTGAGAAACGCTTGTGAAATCAGCGCAGGTCGCAAGCAGTTGGTGCTTGCTCCACTCCCCGGGAAGGCAGGGGATAATGGCAGGTCCGCCCTGTTCCCCCTCCCACCCCGCCTCGTGCAGCAGCCGTGTGTATGGTGTAGCTAATCCCGGGGGTGCTGAGGGCTTGCTTTGGAGCTTTCAAGGGGGTGGCTTGATTCCGTGGTCTGGGAAGGTGGTCAGCGTGGAGCCAGGGAGGCTGTGACTTGTCGCAGGTGCTGTGGTGGTTCTGAGGTGGCCTCTTGAGGTGGATGTTCTGCGTGGGTGACAGAGGTAGCTGACAGGGAGAGTGCAGATCCGTGGGTGCGTGGTTCAGAGCCCTCTGCTTGTTCTCAGAAGAGTCTCTGCGCCGAGGTCTGTACAAGGGATGCTCCTGGCTTATCCCCTTGCCTTCTGAAACCCACTGGGGCATCCACGGGCTGTTTTGAAAGGGAGTGAAAGGCAAACCAGTGACGGGCCTTAGCCCAGAGTGCAGACCCTCTTCAGCAGCCTCAGGTGCTTTTGGGCTGAGCTGTTATGCTTAGCGGCAGCATATCCAAGAGCACGGGCGAGAGCGGGGAAGTGGTTTGGGGAGGAGGCCCCTGTGGGACGCATCATGGTGCCAGGGAGGCAAATAGTGAGGCTGTCCTGTCTGTCCTGCCTCTGCCCACAAACAGGGGTAGGAAGAGATTGTCTCTTCCCCAGTTGGGTGTGCGTGTGCATGTGTGTGCGGCAGCGACAAAGGACTTAGGCCTGCAGGACTGTTAGCGAAGAGCATGGGGTAGATGTCTTGCAACTGTCTGGCTCGTTTTAAGGGGCGAAGCCCTAGGTGTTCTTGAGCTAAGTTTACATTAACTTATTCCCTCCATTCCTCCTTTCAGTTATCAAATTCCTGGAGGTCTACGAGCGCAGCTTCTGCAGGACAATTGAGACCCTGGTGGACATTTTCCAGGAGTACCCTGATGAGGTGGAGTACATATTCAAGCCGTCCTGCGTGCCTCTGATGAGATGTGCGGGTTGCTGCGGCGATGAGGGCCTAGAATGTGTTCCTGTGGATGTGTACAACGTCACGATGGAGGTGAGGGCCCAGCTTGCAAGCTGGCATGCTTGAGTGGAAGGAGGCGAGTCGGCCATCGCAGCACCCCAAATCCCAGCTCCCAGCAAATTCAGAGGGAGGGCAACCTACTCCGGGGAACCGGAGACTGTCGGATCAGGAGGGCTCACCTCTTTCCTGACCCTTGCGCCCAGCATGGCACCATGCAGGGTTAAAAAATTAGTGGCCTGTGTCTCTTCAGGGCTAAGAGGAGGATCTGGTTTTTGGCTCTGACCTCACTAGTGCCCCAAAACGGTAGCTAGGAGCGTGCAAAGGAGCACTTCATGCTTAGAGGATGCAAAGGAGCACTTCTGATGCTGTTATCTCTGAGGTCCCAAGGAGGATACTCCTTTGCTGTACCTTAACTCTGCGTTTGGTCCAGCCAGCTGTTGCTCCGAAGGCAGCTGAGCGGTGCAGAAGGGGAAAGCCTGTCAGTACTCTCTCCCGGAGGGCGTGTGAGGTCAGTCTTTACCAACAGAGCAGGGGATTTGGGTCATTAGCTACATTGGCGCAGCAGGGGTGGAAAGGGGCTCTAAGGAACACACTGCTTCAGTGTCAAGTGGAAAAGCCTTTCTGCCTCTGGGCATCCTCCTCCTTTGTTTGGAGCCTGTGGAATTCATTCCTTGGAAGAGACAGAGATGGCCATGATAGCAAAGGCTGGACACGTGGGGAAGATGCAAACTCTGCTTTAGAGAGCTTTGTCACTGCCTTTAACTGCCAGCCTGGATGCCAGCTTGCGTCCACCATGGTGCTGGTGCCCATTACCCTTAACCCGCAGCTCCCTCACCTACTTTTGGCCCTCAGCCTCTTCAATAGCCGCTGTAAATATTGCCATCACTTTTTGATACGGATGAGAGACGTGCAGGACTGAGTGATTAACCAGCAAGCTCTTTTTCCTTGTCATTTGAGCTGTGTTTGGTGGAGAACCTGTCTGTGCCCTCCCATGGTTCCCCATGCTGCTTTTCCACTTGCAGGCTCCAGCCCGGGCCAGAGCACACCTGCATGGCCTAGCTAGGGATGGTTTTCTTGCAGCCATGCCTTGCCGGGTTAGTTTTTGGCTGTTAAGCCTGCATGCCTGTAAAGGAGCAGAGGCGCTTGAGGAGATCTCTGGTGCTGATGTGGTCCAGCCAAGGTCTGGGTTGAGAGACTGTGGCAATATGTGCATAGCTTCTAACGTAACTTCCCTGGAGTCACCTGGGGCTGGGCAGTGTCTGGCTCTGCAGGTCTGTTTTAAGCACAGATCACCGGGTTTACTTTGCGTGTCAAGTCACTGAGAAAGTGGGATGTCTGCTGGGAAGGAATGGTGGCTTAGGGAAGAGGAGTTAGCTACGGGATTTTTGCTTTGGCCTTTGCATTAGACTGAAGGATGCCTCTGCGTGAGAGCAGGCTGGATGCTCTCTTGCTGTCTCTCTAGCAGGGACGGCTCAGCGAGACCCTCGCTGTGGTGTTAGGCCCTCTCCCAGGCCTGTCTCCAAGGCAGTGCACCAGTGCTGGCACCTTGCACGCGTGAGCAAACAGAGCTTTGGCACGAGTCTGCTGTTGCCGCTTGCTTGTGATCAAAGGCCTTCCCTGAGTAGGAGACCGGGCCTCACAGCCAGCTCAGACTCTGCCTTGCCTTTCCCAGGAGCACCTGGGGTGCAGCTGCTTTGCCGTGCAGCGGGCTGGTGTGGAGCTGGGAACATAAATAGTGAATGGGCAGTGACCCTCTCTGTTTCTTTCATTCCAGATCATGAGAATTAAACCCCATCAGAGTCAGCACATAGCGCACATGAGCTTCTTACAGCACAGTAAATGTGACTGCAGGTGAGAATGGAGCAGCGCTGGGTCCTTTTGCAATAAACTTACTCCGAGCCTTTACTTTTTTTCTGCCATGGGGTCGGGACTGTTGCCCAGAGGCTTCTGCAGTCTCCGCAGTTGGTTTGCAGTGGGATGGCTGAGCCTGGGAAAAGAAGTCCTTTGCTGGCGAGGCTCCTCCACCTCTGGATACCACAGGTGGACAATGCTGGCCTGTACCCTGGGGTCTGTTGGCCCTGGCTGCCAGTGAGGTGCAGCAGGAGAGCAAACACTTTGAGAAGGACCACTTAACCGGTGCCTGCAATGCCAGCTGTACCCGTCCTTCCTGGACGTGGTGGGAACTGGGGATGATACCAGAAGCCTGTGTGGTAAGCTGCCTTCTAACGAGGCCTTTGTTCTCTCTTCCCCCACAGACCAAAGAAAGATGTCAAAAACAAACAAGAAAAGTAAGTGACGAGCCTTTCCTCCTTTCTCTTTTGGTGGTTGGTTGGTGTTTCCTCTCCCCACTGCCCCTTGCCCTTTTCTTTGGTTGGAGATACTCACTTGGAGAAGGTGTTTTTGGAAATGGCCTATGATAGTGCGTGGGGCGACACTCTGAATCCATTCCAGGTGGGCACAGAGACCCAGATCTGACGGTCCTTCCTTCCTACCCCAGACCTGGAGCTTGCATGACCCCTGGGCATGGCAGTCATTTCTTAATGCTTTACCCCAAGTCAGGGAAGTCCCGTCGTGGTCGTGTGTGTCCTACCAGAATGGATTCAAGGTGCAGCCCCCATTCTCCCTTCCCTCTTCCTGGGGTGTTTCTGGTTACTGCAAATCGCTGCCTTTCTTTATTATTAATTTTTTTCTTGCTGCTTGAGTGAGTACTTGCTGGCTTCTTTCACAGCGGCTTGGGTAGGAACTCTGCTGGCTACAGGGAGAGGTGGCAGTAGAGGCCTGGTGGAGGCAGGACTGATGCCATGCAGGATGTGACACTGGTTTCGGTTGGGTGGGGACCTGGGAGGGTGTAAAGGGAGGTGGGTGTCCTAGCTGGGTCTTGGTGGAGGCTGTCAGGAAGGTTGTTTTCAATCTGATGGATTTGCTCTGGTGACCTGAAGGAGGTTTAAGGCACAACCTTCCCTTTCCTTCCTCTCCAAAATAAAAAAGTTGTGGAAAGTAGAGAAATAAGCTCTTGTCCTGCGTTAGTCGCAGGGACGATCACAAAATGTGGAACAACATCAAAAAGAAGGAGTGACCTCTCGGGGTGAGAGGGTCAGCTGGACTGCACGTGGCTGGGGTAGCAGCTCTGCCATTCAGAGGTGCGGAGCTGGAGAGGAAGGGGGTGAATACTGGGGAGACGAGGCTGAAAGAGAGACACAGAGAGCAAGCGGGAGAGTGAGAGAACTTCTTTCACCCCTCTCCTGGTGGTTGTGTATTTCTAGCTGCCTTCCAGCCTCTCATCCTCCCCCTGGAAATCTGCTCCTGGCTGCATCGGGCTGCGTGCAGCCGACACTCCTCTCTGTGCAGGGCCGTGTCGGGGACGGTCGGTCTGCGTGGCTCTGTGGTTTGAAGGTGTGCAAGAGTCGTGTCTGTGTGAACTCTGGTGAGGATGGGGTGTGGGTGAAGCAGCCAGCCCGGACTGTGTTGCATTCCCTTTCCTCTTCTAACAGCACCTTGCCTGCTCTTTGCTGGTTCTGCGCTCCCCGGGGAAGGAAGGGAAGGGATGGGAGAGGTCGGTGTGCTTTGATTTGTGCTGGGTTGAAAGTCCGGTGGTATTGGTACCCCTCTCCTCCCTTCAGGTCGATTTTCCTCCCTTCACCGCCTCCCTGTGACTCCTGACTTGTAGGGCAGAGTCTGGGAGCGAGCTGATGCTCTGACACTCGTTCCAGTGAGACGACTTGAGACAGGGCCTGAGAAACACCTATGGTGCTTTCCCTTCTGTCCCCCCCATGTCCCCTCGACGGCTCCCTCACGAGGTGGGCTGCCCCAAGGAATGAGGGAGCCTTTGCTGAACTGCCACAGGGCTGGGGCTCACTTGGCTGACCAGCCCCGGTGCTTTGCCCAGGGCCTTCTCCTTGCCTATCCCTCCCTCGGTCCTGCGCTACCGTGGCTCAAGGAGCAGCGCAGGCTCCGGCCTCCCTCCCTCCCTGCGCTCTCACTGGCCTGTAGGGATCCACGGTTAGTGTCCAGGCCTGCACGCCGTAGCCCCTGTCCCAGCTCCTGCCCAACAGTCAGGAGCAACTGGTGAATTATTCAGAATTTCAGTGCCTTGGCTCTGTCTGCTCGTCTGTCCGGCAGCTCCATGGGGAAGGCGAGGGGAGGGAGGGAGGATCTGAAAGCTGCTTGCTGGTTATCCCCGGGGTGTCATAGCTAGGTGAGGCCTCCCTCTTCGGTCCTCAGGATGGAGGCTGCCCCGGGGGGTGTTAGCAGACGAGGTCTCCTGGAGTCCTCCAGACCGCCGGCGGGCGGTGGGGTGGGTGAGCAGAGCCTTGGGGCTGGATCACCTCCTCTCGCCCAGCCCTGCTGTGTAGACCAGGTGTCTCCCCTTGTCTGCGGGGTGCTGAGGCCAGGCCCCCTTTGGTTCCACCCCAAGGCAGGATGACCACCAGCCCTGCAGCAGGGCTGGGGGAAGCTCAGCTGCCCCCTCCTTGGCCTGGTGCCGGGGCAGGGCGTCGGGTCAGAGCGCTTTCCGTTTCCCCGGGGAGAGCCCCTCCGCTCAGGTTGCCTCTTGCCCGTCGCCGTGTGCCCACCCTTGTCGCCTGGAACGGTTGTCTGCGCTCACCGCGGTTGCGTGATGCTTTCACGACGCTTTGGTCCTTCCTCCTCGCCCCCTGTCCCTTCCCCGCTGCCCCTCTCTGGAGGGGGCAGGTGCCCCGCTGAGGCTCCAGCAGGTCCAGCCCTGCTGGAGGTGGTCTCTGCCCAGTCCCCTGGCGTTGGCTTGGCTGTGGGCAGGCTGGTGGCGGGGCTGGCACGAGGGCCGGTGAACGTGTGTGCGAGGTGGAGATCTGTGCTTCGGCGCCGGGACTTGCCCTCCGGTCCTGCCTCGTGTGCTTCCCCCCTCCCAGCAAGGCACATGGCTGTATTTTTTTCCCTCTACTTCCTTGCGTTTTCTTCCGTTTTCTCTCTATCTCTCCCTTTCCTTCCTTCTCTCTCTCTCTCTTTCTCTGTTTTTTTTTTTGTTTTTCTTCCAGAAAATCAAAGCGAGGAAAGGGGAAGGGTCAAAAGAGAAAGCGCAAGAAAGGCCGGTACAAACCACCCAGCTTGTACGTTTGTGTCCTCTGCTTGTAGACTCTCTTCCCTCCCTCTCCCCAAACCAATCCGCCTGCTTGCTGCTCACTCAAATCTCACCCTCCCCTCCCAGTCACTGGTGGGCTGCAGATCCTGCAGGGGCAGCACTGGTGGTGGCACTGCTGTGGCACTAAGGGTACCTCAGGGAAGGCGGCTTTGGCTTGCTTGGCTCTCTCATCACCGGCGCTGACCGTTTTCCCAAGGCACAGGAGCGCGGGTGGGTGGGCCAGTGCCCTGCACCTTTTTTTTTCCACGCCTTCCAGTTGCAACTCTGTCCTCCGCTGTCCTGCACTTGTCTTGTGCCCTCACTGCTGTGACGACTGGCGACAGGCAGGCTGGCATCTGCCGTGCATGGGTGTGCGTGCGCGTGCGTGTGCGTGCGTGTCTGGTGGAGTCACAGGCGGAGAGGAGAGGTGGGACGGTGGGAAGCTGGAGA